AGGTTACCTTATGCGACATACGCCTGAAAAAGGCCAGAGTGCTCAATGACCGAAACGTTGTGATGATAACATAAATATGAGGATATCAGTCCGAATGTAAATAACGTGTATAACGTAAGGCTCCTGAATTCTTCTGGATGATTTACCTAATTTCTCAATTTTAAAATAGACTAATTTATTAACTGCGAGAAATTATTGCGTATATGTAGCAACACTTACGCACGAAGCTGCACATTTCGGCCATTTGCAATGGCGTCATGTTTTAAGCGATGGCTGTGGCGACATCTGCGCTCGATTTTTATCAGGAAAACAAAAAGAAGCATAATTTAAACTTGACATACCATCTGGTATTTTTAGCATAAATAGAAATATAGTCACGTCTTCCAATCTCTCGAGATATTTTTTTTTCATTGTGTTCTGATTTTCTATCCAAATGTTCTTTTTTTATGATGTTGCATAATTCTTTGTTCTTTAACTCAATGTTATACAATCTGCGTTTCAGATTTCTTTGAGGTACACAGAGTTTTTTGACGTTCTTAATTCAATTGCTTTCTTTTGTTGTCATCCTTTATTCTATTATTCTCTCATTCTGTTGTTCGTTAGTTTCCATCTTTTTAAAAATTTGTTCATATGTTCATGGTTGGTAATTAAATAGCAAATTGAAAAAAATATCCTATTTTACGCGTTCGTCCTTCGAAAGGACTGCTTCAGATGAAAAAAGGTTTTTATTGCTGGAATCATACATATGTTGGGGAGGCAACGATATGCAGCTGTTTTAATTCTACATACGGGAGAAACCATGAAAATGTAGAGACACTTCAAATTTTAAATATATGGCGCCCGATGGGTCCAGACTCATCATCTGGTTGGTCTCATTCTGATTTCGATCGCTTTTGTTTTTGCTTTTATCGCTGATTTTTAAACTATCTCACATTACATTGGCATCAGTTTTTGTTAAGAAAACTGGCATACTGCCTGATCGTGGATGTAAATTTACCGTGGAAGACTCAGAAATTAATGCCTTTATTATATTTTTTTCACCTTAATAAATTAGTTTCTTTTTTAAAATTAAAACCGCATTATTTAAGTTGAAATTCTGGTCAGACTTACCCCAATGAACGACACATATATTGAGTGTATTTTCTAAATTTAACTCTAACCATATACCTCTTTTGTATTTTCTAACCACAACCCTAGATCCCTATGTTTTCATATATTCATTTATTTAAATTTTTGGATGTTACACCAGTGTATTTCTATGCACCAACTATTTGTTTTTAAGGTTTTATTCGTTCCTTTCTTTTTATATTTTAGTACACGCCACTAACCATATATATATATACACACATATATCTGTGTGTGTGTTTATGTGTGCGTAGTGTGTGTGATTTGGCACACACACTAATTAACTAATCCTCCAATCAAAAACATCAATCCACTCCTTACTAATGATGTACTAAGACAATAATGTCGTCTAATAATATCTATAAAACTAAAACAACCAATAAGATACCTCCAAACAAAAACAAAAGTTATGATAACGGTTGAAGAATACCGAAAACTTTCGGCAGAAAGCTACCGATTGGGATCTTAATTTAACAACATGGACACAAACATTCAGAAACTTGCGAGGAAACAAGAAAAAAACTGAGAAAAAAAGTGGAAGAGTTCCATAGTGTTTAATAGCACATGCCTTAATATATATATATATATATATATATATATATATATATATATATATATATACATATATACATATATATATATATATATATATATATATATATATATATATATATATATATATATATATATATATACAAATATATATATATACATATACATACATATATATATATATATATATATATATACATACATATATATATATATATATATATATACATACATATATATATACATATACATATATATATATATATATATATATATATATATATATATACATACATACATACATAAAATTAACGTATATATATATATATATATATATATATATATATACGTTAATTTTTTTATATGAAAGGATCCTATTGAAAATAAATAGACAAAACCTATCTAAATTATTCACTGAGACATGTCTTAATATATATATATATATATATATATATATATATATATATATATATATATATATATATGTATGTATGTATGTATGTATGTATGTACACAGTCCGCCACCAAAAAGTATACACATTTCAGGAAAGAACAACTTGTCTAAAAATATCATGAAATTGCGATAACACTGTTTACTGTAGTAAGATATTTTCTCGACAGATGGCATTATTCTCATGGCTGTAGCATCAACAAGTAAGGATGTTGGGCATCGCAGAAAACCGACTACATTGGCGGGCTTTAGACAAGATATTGAAAATGTATTTGTAGCAATCTCACTGGACACTATGTCCAACGTTGCCCAATCAGTAGTTGGCCGTACTAATAAATATCTGGAGGCTAAAGGGCACCATTTTGAGCATCTCTTTTGATTGTAGACTCCAAAGGTAAATTGTATTAATTCCGTGATCTCTGAATAAATGTAGTATTACAATATCTATACAAGTTTTTCCTTTCCTGTAGTTTGTATATATTTTGGCCGGTATATGTATACAGGGTGTGATGGATAAATTGACTAAATTACGCAAAAATTAAGATAACACAGACATCTCTTTTAACAGATATATTTACCAAAAATACACAACGATATCTTGAAGAAATAAGAGTAAATTTATTCAATAAAAACGCCATTGGCTTCAACCACGGTTTCCAAACGACTTCGAAATCTCCTGTAACACCCTTGGCCGGTCTCCTTGTTTAAGTTGGTGAATTCTTCTATAATCATTGCCTTCACTTCATCTTTGGTGTTACAGAGAGTATTTTTGGTCTCTCGCTTAACTGCGCCTTTCACATAATCTGGGGAGTTAGGTGGCAAGATGTATGGGGTGATATGGTCGCAGAAATTGTCTGGCAGCTATGACTGGGTGCCCTTGCTTGTGCAGCATAGTGCAGAGTTCTGTTGCCTGACATAGAGTCTTCCAGCAGCCACCTTTTTGACCCATCGCAGCTCTACCTCTTCAAGGCACTTGGTGTAGTCCTACGTATTGAGTTTGAGGTTCGCACTAACAACTTGGGGAGTTTTCCGAGCACTGGTACCTTCACAATCACCACTAGAACTGAATTCTACACACTGTCCACAGAGTGGTACCCAAATATTCTGAATTGTTTATGTTAGAGCTTCCGGCGCGAGTGCCAAGCAGTGTAACATTCCGTTTCCAAATTTCTGGCGGAGAGAATTGCATCATGGTAGTCTTTTTCTCACAAACGGTGCCCAACTGACCCTACTATGCTGTGCAGTCGGCAAGATAAAAAAAAAACAAAAACAAAAAAAGAACGAGCATGCGCAAAAGTAAAAATATAAAATGGTGACAATTTAAATTTACCGACCTCACCCCAGCTATATATAAATTTAGCTCTGTTATATAAATCGAGCACTTTTATATTACCACCAGCATTGGATGTGTGATAATATATATATATATATATATATATATATATATATATATAGATAGATAGATAGATAGATAGATACCCAACTGACCCTACTATACTGTGCAGTCGGCAACATAAAAATATATATATATATATATAAATCGCACATAGAATGCTGGTGGTAATATAAAAGTGCTCGATGTATAATAACAGAGCTAAAATCTATACTAATAATAAATATAGATTTTATACTCACCGATAGCGCAACTCTGAATTTCATGTGCTGATCGAAAAATATATATATATATATATATATATATATATATATATATATATATATATTTAGATAATATTTTTAACATTTTCGAACTAGTTGGGCGCTTGTACATGTTCTCAGCAATTCTCTTTGTGAAGGTGGTTGAACGTGTGTCATATTGACCCTCTTTCTAACATCATTATGATATATTTGCTGTTTGTGCTTGTTGCCCACACCCAGATATTATATGCTTAATTGTTTCTGGATTTTTCCTGCTTGTGTGGCATGGTGCAGAGTCCTGTTGCCAGACATAATGTCGTCCACCCTCTTGACCCAGGGAATCACTACCTCGTCAAGGCACTTGATATCGACCTTCTGTGGGAAGATGAATGTAGGCATAACGTTACCATCACTAGTGATCACTACAAACACCTTTGTAACCGCCATTAGACTCATCCAACTCTTTCCGAATCCTCTACTCTGACCTCAGATTGACATCCAAGCACTCTGAAATTTTTTATTGAAGCTTTCGGTGCAAATATCAAGCAGTATACCATTCTCTTTCCAAAATTCTGGCGGAGTGAATTGCGTCATAATGCTCTTTTCTCTCAATATACTGTGCAGTGGACATAATATTAAAAAAATAACGCGCATGCGCGAAATTAAAAGTATAATTTACCCGTCGTACCATGTATTTATCACTTTAAACGTTATTTTGTGCAAATCCATATTTGAGTAGACAGTCTGTCTATTTTTAAAACAGTATTTTATTTTCGACTACCGGCCTAAAATAAAATATTGTTTTAAAAATAAACAGAACGTCTACTAAGATATGGGTATCCACTAAAACTAACTTTTAAAATGCTAAAAATATGTCAGATTAATAAATTAAAATTCTCTACTTCCTTAAAAATTACTATATATGTATATGTATGTGAGTGTACGGCTATGTGAGTGTGTTCAGGCTGATTGATTGATTATTTTTTGCGGCTTATCAACCTTTTACATGTTATTTACAGCCATCAAATAATATTACACTGTAAAAACTTGTTGGTGATAATAAAGATTTGTTGATACACGTCATACTAATTAACCCATAGCTGGAGGGAGAAGAGGTGGGTCCATATCCTTCCCAAAGTTATTTGCGCGTGAATCTAACGAACCCGACTGGAAATGAACTCGCCTCTCTGATTTCCAATTCCAGGCCGTTATCCATTACACCACCTGCACATCCAAGCTTACAGCACCTGGTATTCCCAACTGGTCACACATTTCGGTACCGAGAAGGACGGACGTTGCTTAACTTCGGTGATCGCACAAGAACCGGTGTTTCAACAAGATATAGCAGCGAGAATAGAGAAACTCTAGATACATTGCAGAAGTACCAGACCAGATGTGGCTGCACTATTCGATGCACGGACGAATGGTGGACTTTTGAAGTCACAAGATAGATTCTGGTGAGAAAAAATGTCTACCGCGACACAGTGAACCAACTTTCCTAACAACAAGCTTCGCAATTTATTCAATATAAACGCTTCAATTCATGTCAGTGGAAAATAGGAGACTGAGATGGCACAATAAGTTACTGTGGCAATACCAGTCACCGAAAGTATTGTTAATTAAAAAAAACAAAACAAACAAAAAAAAAACAAAAAAAAAACAGCTGGACCTTTCGCAAAAAATAGGTTAGGGATATTGCTTTTTGACCGAGTATCGTGAAGTGGGCTTCAACGATTGGCTTGGACACTGAATGAAGATAAATTGCTTTTTTTAGACGAAGATGACAGGACAAAGAAAACTGACGAAGCAGGCCTCGGAGAACGGACAGCAGAAAACACGTACGCCTCGTCTCGACTTCGCTCGCTTATAGCAGTAGGTTACAACCAGTGGTGGCATCCTACCAATTTGGTTTCTTAAAATTATAAATACTTAGTAAACCGGTTGTAGTTTTATCCAAAAATAATCTTACATATTAATAGCCAATATATAATTGTTAAAAATATAATTAATACCATTGCTGTAAGTTCTGTGAAGGCTGAAAGAGGTTTTTCTCTGGTGACAAAAGAAATCGTCTTAAAGTTGAAAACGTGACAAATAAATTTGATAGGTCTCCCATTGGATCTTTGGGAATGAACCGATTCCGTTCGAATGTGGCTAAGAAACCATGACACAGATGATGACACTACAGTTAAAATGCATCATACTTTTAAACAGAAATATGATGAGAACAGAATTTCAACCTGAAAATATCTTAATAAATAAATGTTTTCTTTTAAATTATCGAAATAGTTTAAATCTTTTTAATACTCGAATTGAGGAAACGGTAAAACCGAGTTTGAATACCAGTCGAATCCATTACATTCACTTATGTGCTAATATCTATCGGAAAGGTATGAATCGTCTTCTCCCTCCAGATATGGATAAATAGTAGGACAGACCGAGTTCTATAGCCTTGGATGGCAACCGCAGAAAGAAATGGCAACATACTGCAGGAAAAAAACTCAGCCTGGTCAGTCATGTATTGAAAGATACATGATCGCCAAAGCGTGTATCACGCATACACATAACTGACTGCAATAGATTTGTTTCCATTTTCTCATTGAAAAGAAAATAAGCAGAATAAGTTCCTAAATATTATTAGGTTGGTACAAAAATAATGACGTAATAATGTCGTTTTTGGACGTATTTTTTAACGTCAAAAAACGACATTGTTACGTCATTATTTTTGCACCAACCTAATACCTGCTTAGAAATTTGGAAATGTCATTATGGGTTACAATTCAAGAATAAAATCTGGTTAACCGCTAAAAAATGTTTTGTTTTTCACTCGTGGTCGAAGGGTAAGCCACAAGCATTTGACTGGAAGAAGCTGCACCCTGTCAACGAACCCGGTGTCTGGTCTGAGCTGCAGCGCAACATTGCTCTCCTGGAGGTTAACATCATCGCTGTTCTATAGAAGATATAGCTCACAAATGTTATTCTTTTGTTCGCATTCATGAAGATAATTATTTATTCCGTTCTTTTTTTTATTCCGTCCATTCTCATATTCTTTGTGGTAATCTTATTTTCTTCTTGACACGAAGTACTCGAAGCAGAAAGAAGTATGTATCTATGAAGTGAGCAACTGAAAAAATTCTCGGCTCCCGATCCATTTCCCAAAATCTGTTCAGATGACCAAACATCAGAATTTATTTTCGAAACCACTTCTTGCTTGAGCAGAGCTTCTTGGCATGCCGTCGTATATGACTAAATCGAAATGATATCAGATTAAAATGGCTGGCAGCTGCTGTTGATGATGATAAAAAATTTCTGTTATCTTTTGAGTATTTCCTCTCTTAGAGTCGCGAGGGAGACGCTTCTGACTAACTGCACAGGCTTCTCCGTCGCGCATTCCCCACAAAAATCATATTCACGGAAATGGCCTCGTCAAACTCTCATGTCCGTCACCGCTACCACGACCGCATGGGTGACAAAGAATAAGTAGAAAGGATGACGATTCTGATACTAGGATGCGAGACGAGGGGCCGACTATGACTAATTTCGCTCTCTATTTCTCTTTACAATGATGTTCGCCCTGTATAAGGCCCAAGAACGACTCCAATTAGAGGCTTACAAAGATGGATAGTTTATAACGGTATGTGTTGAAGATAACAAAACAGTAGTTCGTCTTGTTTTTAAAGCGTTAGTGGTTTTTAATACTAATAATGTGACACATTCATATGGTATTTTATGATATAGCCAGGATCAGAAATAAGCCTATATTTAATATGAACAAAATCTATGCAATAATATTTTCTGCTCCTATAGATTTAGCAAATGTTTAACAGAAAGGGACTAGAAATCTTTCTCATTACATATCTTTCAATTTGGGATTGTATATACGTATAAATAGGAAAATCTATTTCCTAATGATTTGCAATGATAGCATTAAGTTCGAATAAAGATTCGAGAAAGAACCTTGAAACACACATACACCATATATATATATATATATATATATATATATATATATATATATATATATATGTGTGTGTATATATATATATTAAGCGAAAACGGAATAACTCGGGTAAAACACAAGATTAATGATAAAAAAAGAATAAAAATCAACGATTCAGTTTATTTAGGTCAAACAATTTTTCTGAATAAATTGTTTGCCTGATTTTCTCAAGAGTAACACAACCTCTCAAGGTTTTGGCTGAGCAATTTATAAATTCGTTCGTTGGCATCTATTCAGATATCTCTCATAGATAGATAGATAGAAATAAAGAAATAGACAAGTATATATATATATATATATAAATATATATATATATATATATATATATATATATATATATATATGTGTGTGTGTGTGTGTTCATATATATATATATGTGTGTGTGTTTATAAATTTAAGATTAAAGCTTTAAAACTGAAGCAGATATTTCCATATAGTGCTCAATATTAAAAATAGATCATTGATAGTATTTATGTTATATATATACAGAAAGAAATACTGTAACTGTCTTCGACTTCACAGTTTTTGCTACAATGTTCACTTTTCAAGGTGTTAATCCGTATTGAAAACATTAATGGAGACAGAACTACAAAACCGGTGAGTCGGGAACAATTGCAGTAACGTAATTCGTCTCTCTCTCTCTCTCTCTCTCTATATATATATATATATATATATATATATATATATATACTTAAGGAGACACAATTTTGTGATGATCCTTTTTTTAATGGACCTAGGTACCTTATCTTCGTCAGAAATGATTTAACAAAATTGGTCAGTACGTATGTGGAAATTTGAGGAAAACATCTAAAATAAATTTACGATTAAAACATAAATACGTAAATTTAAGAACAGAGTAAATACTCCAAAGTGAGTATAAAACAAGAAAAGATAATCACCCACTGACCTCCAAATAAGTGTAAGGACTGCAAAAAAATTCTCCTTTTGCCTACAAAGAGCTGGCTGCTCCAATTGAAAACAAACACTTGCCTAATGGTGTTTAGACCTAACCATATGCAAAATAGAGAACGAGTCAGTCGTGAAACACGAAGAGCACCGCCCATTCTCTAATAGGTGCTGTCCGATTGCCGAATCGTGTACAGATTGTGATACACGGGTGTGATTATTTAAATTTAATCTAAGAAATTTTGGTACGTGTTGGTCTAGTCTCGTCTCGAACCTAAGACTAGTAGGTCCTCAGCTTCACACTGACTCTTGAACTTGTGAATTAGGGAAATTTTTGCTAAGATAGGACAACTGATTTCTGGAAAAGGAACGAAACACTGGATGGGTCCCAAAAACAACACGCAATTTGTCAGAAAAGGAGGTAGAAAAGACAGAATTAGAGACGTTATCAATTAAAATTTGACACTTTCTACCAAGCCAAGGCAATTTTAAGTAGATCGGACACAGACTAGGACTAAATTCAGAATATTTACTAAAATTTTCAATCTTGCGTTTCATCATCCGCTTAATGATGTTGGTAGGATAACCGTTAGCAGGGAGGATGCAACGTACCCTGTCTAACTCTTACTGAATAGTGCAAGGGGAACAAATCATTAGGGTACGATAGACTAAAGTTGTGATTGAGTTGATTTTTCTGGAACGAGAGACAACGGAGTTCCAATTAGTATATAAACCAATAAATGTCGGTTTACGGAATATGTAATAAATCTTTTCGCTCTACCAATGTATATATTCAGAGAGAAGAAGAAAGAAAGGAAGGAAGGAAGAAAGAAAAAGAGGCAAGTAGTATATAGATAGCTATATAAACAGGAAAAAAGAAAGAGACAGGTAGATAGATAGATTGAAAAATAGAAATAAAGAAAAAATGATAGACAAGTAGATTGATATAAAGATAGATAGATAGAAAGAAAGAAAGAGACATGTAAATAGATAGAAATAAAGAAAGTAAGGAAGAAAAAAGTAAATAGAAAGAACAAAAAAGAAAAAAAAGAAAACAAGAGACATGTAGATATATATATATATATATAAAGATAGATAGATAGATAGATAGATAGATAAAATTTAATTTAGTTTTAATGCATGAATGTATATACATCATTGCTTCATTTATATTAAATTATCCTTTATATAGCTTAGCATATGAATCAATATCTCTCTCTCAGTCTTTATATAATATAATTATATATATATATATATATATATATATATATATATATATATGATTTATAGGGAAATACAGCTTTGTGTTGGAGGTATAGTGTTTATCGTGGCATGGTAGACTTAGGTATTAACATTGCTAGGTGACTCCCACATTTACGCTTTTCAAGATGGTCTGAGGATCGTATTAAAGAGTAAAAATACAGTGGCCATGCAGTCTTCATCACTCCGTCTTTGTCAGTCTGTGCCTCTGTCTCTGCCTTTGTTTCTGTCTTTCGATATATACATATGTGTGTGTATGTGTGTGTGTGTAAATACACGCGTACGTTTTGAAAAATTCAGGCATTTACAAATAGATCTTGTACAGTATAAACTTCCGTGACATTTTCTGCATTTCTATCTATCTATCTATCTATCTATCTATCTATCTATCTATCTATCTATCTATCTATCTATCTATCTATTCCAGTTTCTTCATCTATCTATCTATCTATCTATCTATCAATTCTGTTCATTTCTATATATCTATCTCATTCAGTCAATATCTGTCGATCTGCACACAAAGATGAACACGCGTATAAGTTATCTGTTCGTACGAATAATGTTGCTCCTTTAGCATTCTTTCCCTCTGTCTTTCTCTCTCTTCGTATATATATATATATATATATATATATATATATATATATATAAATAGAGAAAGTGAGTAACAGCGAAATATATATAAGAGAGGAACCGCCTGAAATTTATATAAACAAATATAAGCATGCATTCAAATATGTATTTGTATACGCATATATACAAGTAGGTTTGTTATTGCGAGCTTATTTAACTTTTCTCTATTTAACCTTGGCAAATGATTCTGGAATCAATTAAACTGGAAAATATTCAGCACTTCTTTACAAAAAAAAAGGGAAAGAAAAGATCACAGGAAATTGTGATATAGCAAAATTGGCAAAGAGACTCCATCCAATATTCAATTGGCATGGGGCTGCTCAGCCAAGAGCCAGATCAATTCCTGGATCAATTTGAAGCTTAAATCTTGGATCAGCGCTGACTAATTGGCGGGAAGCTCTAGGAGCGCACAGCAGTGGGTAAGGGGGAACAGAATATTGAAGACCGCAGTTGATTTTTAACCGGCCAGATATAATTGTTGTAGTAGTGAAATCGGCTGACAGGCAGATCGAGAGATCCTTCACCATAAAACGCTGCCGGTCAATAGTTAATGTGATAAAACATTGTTCGTTTTAATGGTAATATTAGACGTTTCCTTTATTTTTAATTAATTCACCCTAAGAAAGTTGATAATGCCACTAAAACGCAAGGATCTACTGGGAGTAAAAGAGAATAGACAGACTTTAGAAGGCACCAGGAACCCATTTCTAAACAGGAAACGGGGATAAAACTCTATTCCTGTTCAAACGAACGGGGACAACTGTGAACCGGACGATAGGCTGGCTTATCTACTCATACAGAAACATTCGACATTTATTGATCAAGCAGGGAGTTCTACTCGAATTACGCTTTTATTTCACTTCCTAGCCATCGAGCTGGGATCAAAGTGTAGTGTCTGTTCTCTTCGTCTCTCACGATTATAATAATATTATCCGACTCCTTATAAGGAAACATTCAGCATTCATTGGCCGAGCTGAGAAGTGCTATTCGAGTTGCGCATTTCTTCATTCCCTGGCCATTACAGTGGGATCAAAGTGTAGTATCTGTTCGCTTTATCCCTAATGTTTTTGGCAAAATTATCTGTTCCTTTATAAGGAGACATTTGGCATTCATTGGCCGAGCAGGCAGTGCAATTCGATTTTCGCATTTCTTCATTCCCTGGCCATCAGAGTGGGATCAAAGTGTAGTATCTGTTCTCTTTATCCCTAAAGTTTTTGGCAAAATTATCTGTTCCCTTATAAAGAAACATTTGGCATTCATTTATGAAGCAGCCAGTGCTATTCGAGTTATGTTTTTCTTCATTCCTTGGTTATCAGATTGGGATCAAAGTGTAGTATCTATTCTCCTCATCTCTCATGGCAATGGTAAAAATAGCCGTGTTCTTATGGGGTAATATTCGGGATTCACTGACTGAGCAGCCAGTGCTATTTTCGTTTGATATTTATAAAATCATTCCATTAAAATAATTTTTCAGGAAAGTAAGCTGTTATCGCTTTTTCCAGTATGGATGGGGATTTCCTTCCTAGCCTTTTGTTTGATAAAGCGTGGAAGGTCAACATCTGGATTATGCCATTATTTTCTTTACACGCTACATGTGATATTCATTTTAGTTTTCATAAAGTTCTCAAGTGATGTGGTTTCTGTTATTAGGTAGAGTTCTTTACAATTCTGTGGTGCCAGTCCACTAGGTTTTAAGAAGGAGGGTCGTCACTAAGAACTAGATATTTCATTCGTTCGAAATCATTTTTGATTGATGAGATATTTTCAATTGAATTTGGCGCCATTCGACATCCATATAAACGTCTCGATCTGATGAGTCGATTTAGGCGCATTACTCTTGTTTTTAGGTTAATGTTTTAGTTTTGTAGCAACTTGTGGTATTGCGAGAAATTATCCCTAGCGCAGGTTGACTTCCTTTTCTCATTTAATGTATTTTTTATGACTGATACATACAGCGAAGTATTTGAAGTGTTTAGTATTTACAAGTTCTGAATCTTAATGACGGGTTCAAGATACGCGCCATTACTGATTTCATTCCAATTCCAGAGGCATCCTGCAGAAAAGAAATTATTATATTATTAATATTTGGACTAATGTCCTCATCTTTGTTGTTATTATCACAATGTTTCAACCCTTGTGCATTCTGGCCTTCTTCCGGTGTCTGTGGATCCGTGTTATTTTTCTGGAATTTCGAACTGAACCCTTTAGTCAATCTACGAGGGACAAATATTTTTCGCCCCACTGCACATGTTTAGGAAGATTTTGTCTTGTTCTATTCTTTATTATTATTGTAGTCACTGTTTCCACTGAGTCTAAAATTGTACTACCCAGACCAGAGTTTGAACTCATAATTACTACGTCACCAAACCCACTTAACAATGCTTTAATCTTCTAAACTATTGTCCTATGGGTTTTTATTCTCTAGGCTGTTGTCCTGTTGATTCGTGAATTTGGAAGTAGTGAAATATCCATACAAATCTCTTATATTTTAGCTAAAGTTTCTTTTTCTTAGTAGTAGTAGTAGTAGTAATATTGTGATTTTTCTTGTCCCAATTTTCAACCAGAGCCTTTAAGAGAAAACAACTAAGATTCGCTACAAGCCAGAGAATGCGCGAAAACGAACTGGCGCCTCATGACCAGCTGTTTCGGGTAGACTGATATCGACAGCCCAGAAAGGCAGTCCATCTAAATGAAGGAAAACTCTGATTTTAGACTTCCGCTACCTTACGGTCATATCGAAACATGAAAAAGGCTACGGAAGTAAATCCAGACAGTTTTGGCGTTTGGCTGTTAACACTGACAACATACCTATCACTCTTGCAGCCATGCCGGTCCCAAATGTAATGCCCTGTATTCCTTTGGATATTGCCGGTACAGCCAAGTGAGAGGGACCATGTGGTCTGGGCAGAACACGGCCTCCATATACCAACGATTAGGCCTGCGCCCTGGAGAGGTCACTCCAGTCTCACTAACAAAATACTGAATTTTGACCAAACAGAGCGCTACCTTTATAAACCCCTGCCTACTTATAATGTTACCATTTTTCTTGAGTGAGTATCTGTTTCCATTTTAATTTGTTAATTAGTCTTGTTAGGAATGACATCGTTAAACGAATATTCATGTGATTCGTGATTATATGCTTTACAGCTTCAACTGGCCACCATTTTGGTGGCGATAAGAACGCTATTTATCAGCCATCATAATCACTAAACGTCACCGACTTTATCTTTTAAAAAGTAAAAAAAAAATGTCCTTAATATTTTTATCGCATTTCTAAATATAAAATCGAAGGCAACAACTATGCTACTGAATATTTGTTGTTTTAATAATTTGAAAAATATGCACAAAGTGAGATGGAAATATTGGCTTGGTTTAGCGAAAGTCATTCACTGACACATGCGAAATAGTGTAGCGATATTTTAATATTGATTCTTTGTTTGAAACGAAATTTGAAATCGTGAATGTGATTTTTTTTTCTAACTCGATTCCAAAAAAAATTATAGCCTGTCGGATAAACCAGCTTGCCATTTGTCTTCTCGCGAACCACACGTACACTGCTGGTCAAAATGTTAAGGCAAATGAACATAAAGATAAAATACATTGTTCGCGTTTTTAGACTCAACCACTTACATAAGTAAAATTATTATTCCTTTTATTATTTTCATTTTTCGAATCTCTACTCAAATAAGTGCTTGAGTCTAACAACACAAAAGGCATATTTTTTCTTTATTTTCATTGACCTTACAACTTGGGCCAGCAGTGTATTAACAAACCAGGCTGTGAGGCAAAGTCCCAACCAAAAGACAAACGCAACTTTCTGAATAGATACGTCTTGATACATGTAGAAACTCTAGTATAAACCAAGCCAATGTCTATCTTTTTTATTCTAGTGTAAAAGAGACTAATGTCTATCTTTTTGCCTCAAGAGTAAACCGGACACAATGTTTACCCTTTTGAGGCTTGTATAAACCGTACATATGTCTATCCTCTTCACTCTGGCATAAACTGGACCAATGTCTATCTTTTTTACTCTAGAAGAAACCGGACCACTTTTTACCTTTTTTGCCTTTGTGTGACGCTTGTATAAACAGGACCAATACTCAACTTTTGAACTCCAGTATAAACTGGACTTATGTCTATCCTCATGACTCTAGTATAAACTGGAACAATGTCTACCTTTTTGTCGCTAATATAAACCGGATTTTACGGCTTTATCAATCGGCCATGAAAAAGAAAACAGTACTTTGCTTGATATATATATATATATATATATATATATATATATATATATATATCGCTGAAAATAATATTTAGCCTGAAGAAATGCATTCAAATGTCGCCAATTTCATTTTCTTCTTTCCGCCATCTTTGTTATTAAATATTCCCCATTGTGATAATAGAATATCTATCAAGAATGGCGAAATGATGTAGGAAGCTGGACGCAAAATTACTGTGGAGAAGTAGTGAATAAAGTACTTGCTATGCAATTTTGTCTTAGATAATTATTTTCTCTTTTAATTATTCTCCTCTTTTAATTAGGGTAACATTTTTTATATAAAAATTATGGTCCAAAAACCAAAAAATCATAACCTCAAAAACATTATTCAAAAAAATATATAATTCAAAATATTTCCAAAATTTAACATTCCCAGCGTCACTCGTTCATGTGAATGTGTAGACATATCAATATGAAAAAAACTAAATCGTCCTAAGGGACGAAACGAATCACACGAAAATTTTTTCTCCCAAACTGTTCTTGATATATAAAAATATATATATCATTATCCCATATATATATATATATATATATATATATATATATATATATATATATATATATATATGTGTGTGTGTGTGTGTGTGTG